GTGCTATGTGCTTCAGCACTTGGCAGCCCTGCCCAGTGAGTTTGCATGGTTTAGTGCTTTGTGGTTTAGATGTTGTTGCTTGTAGACACTTCCATTTCACAGTAATAGCATGTACAGTTGACCAGGGTAGATCAAGTAGGGCAAAGTTCATGAACTGACTTGTGGCAAAGGTGGCATCCTATGACAGTGTCATGTTTAAAGTCACTGAGTTCTTCTACTAGCAGTGTTTGACTGTGGAGATTTTATGACTATGTGCTTAGATTTTACAAACTTATTAGCAATGAGTGTCTCTGAAATACCTGAACTCAATAAGGAGGAGATCTATCACTTTAGAAACTAGATGTCCAAATATCTTTGACCACATAGTTTATGGAACCTTGAAATATTATCATCATTTTATGTGTTTATGTATGTGTGAGTGTGTGTGTGTGTGTGTGTGTGTGTGTGTGTGTGTGTGTGTGTGTGTGTGTGTGTATGCTACTCACAAACAAGGAGACAAAATGATCGCTCATATTTTAGAAACATCACAATGTGTTGGTGTCACGTGGATCAGCTGGAGGTGAATTACAGGGGAAAAACACTCTAAGAGCTGCTTTGTGTAAGACAGGTCTGATTGCAGACATAGCAACGTCTTACACCTGCTAACAAATTACTTCTGTCATGTTAATATGGAATATCACGGTCAAGTTTCCGGTGATGCCTTTTAGCGAGACAGATGATGGCTGGAAGAGATTTAAACCTGAATGATAAAAAGATGCTTAATCTTAAAGCTTGAAAGCTGCTATTGTGGCTGCCTCCCTCACAAAGAAAAACAGACCTGGGGATTATTTCCATTCAAAAGAATGTGGCAAATTACAGAAATGTGTTTTCAATTTCGCTCCTTTGGAATGCTGGAGCAGATGTGTGATTTTGTTTGAGCCAGAAGGTGTGCTTCTGTACAGGAACATAAAGAAAGGCCCACACAGTACCTGCATCCTCACTGTGCTATAATAATCTGTGGCCCTGTAGTGGGAGGTCAGTGGGTTTCTTACCTGCCCAAAAACTTGATAACCTTGTATGTGTGTGTATGTTGAACGATAGATTAGTTATGTCACTTTCTCTCTTTCACACTCACTCCGGCATCTGAAGTAATGCGCTACAAAACTAATCATGTATTTGTCTCAGACTCTTGCTGTTCTTCCTTTCATGCATAGTCTGTCCGTCTCTCCTCAAGCATCTGATGTGCTGCGCCATTATTAACCAGCCAGACTCTGTCAAACAACTTAACTTCTCTGTAAACATCTGAGCACAGCAGAAATATTGATGAGCAGAAAATGGACAATGGAGCCACACCTGAGCAGCATATATGATGAAATGGCAGATGAGTGAAGGAAATAATGAAAGACATTAATGACCAAGAATCAGTTTTCTATTTTTTTGGTGCTTTTTATCTGTTTCTATCTTTTCTTGGCCTTTCTTGACCTACTTCAACCTCTGTTCTCTGCCAGTTTTTTAGTGGCCACAAATAAAATCAAACACCAACACGATAAAAAGTAACAAAAATTTCTTATGTTCAAAAAGTTAAAAGTCACTGATATCTGGTGAGATGATTAGTTCTGCTGCAAGCACATTTGATTTAATGTCTCTAAAAGTGACCTAATAGAAAGCTATTAGATGAAGTGGTAACATATATGCTGCCTGAAGCTTCAGACCTTGTTTTCCGATAGTTTGGAGAAGGTTTTAGTTTTTAGAAATGCGTTCAGTGCAGAGAGCAGGGAGAGCATGCAGGGTACTTTAAGGCAAAATAGTAACCAAAGAAAACCTTTTTCTCTGAACTACCATCATAAATACAACAGTGGTGATAGAAACCAGGGGTCATGATGTCTACAATGCAGAGGCTCCTTGTCAGAGGCTCCTCAGCATTTAAAGGGTTAACTTTCTGAAGTCTGAATTTGTCCAGATACTGAGTCTGCTGAAGTTACCGTGTGTGTGTGTGTGTGTGTGTGTTGGGGAGGGGGGTTTGGGGTAGAGTACTTAGCTCTGTCTGACCTGTGATACCTGAGCTGTTTTGAGTGTAGATTTTAGTGGCCGGTTTCAGATAAGCTCAGTGTATTAAATGATACCATGGTCATCCACAACTGAAGCCTGCCAAATCCTGCTCCAAAACATAGACACAAAACCACTTTGGAAATGAGCAAGATGGCTGGTTTGATCAGCATGAAGCTGTTTTTGTAAGAGCTAAATGAGAAATAAAGAAAAGAGAAGAATGAAAAGGAAAGACAGGTGGGTGTAACAGTTGCTGCTGTCCCTCACAGTTCCTTGGCTGAAAGCACAACACCTGTCAGGGGCCCACAGGGTTTTCTTTGGGAGTGTTTGGAGTGTTGGGTAGGGTTTAATTCAATTTGCAAGGAAAAAAAAACAAAAAAAACAGACTGTGGGAGGTTTTCTGTCCCTTCATTACATGTAAATGTGATCGTGTATTTGATAAACTGTTGCCACCATGCTGTGTTTATGTTTAAAATATAAAAGGGTACTGCAAGAAATTGGTGAGCTCTATTCTTGTGTTACATGCACATTCACTGGGGATGGGGGAGCCCTTGGACCATTTACACACACACGTATGTGAAAAAAACACAGATCTGTGTGGAGTGAATATCAGTGCAAAATACAAACTACCCAAAGGAAGTATGTGGAGAAGGTTCTTTAAAGGGTCTGACGTTTAATATTGTGTATAATTTGAAAGTAATTAGTGTCATAATTTCTTGAATATTGACAAGAGGAATAAGATGAGACTGAATTGTTGTTAAGCATTTTGAAGAGATTGAAGGTGGGGGTTGGCAGATACTGCAGTTGCAAAGGACATAAACTGACAGTTTATATTTCTGTCTCATTTTACCTTCCTTTCATGTGCAATTTTCGACTGTTTTTTAGGCTGACTTAATTCTGGTGAAAAAATGCTTGGGGAAGTGTAGATGTCTGCAAATAGTGGACAAAATAAAAAAAACTTAGCAAATTCTTCTGGAAAAAGCCCTTCACTGGTATGATGAAACCATCGCTATTTACGATTGCTAGTTCATATCTTAAAAATGTGGGTTTTTTCCTTCAAATTGTGGTGAAATGTAACATAACATACAGTCTTTTTAAATTTTAATCCAAATTCTATAGTGGCTGAGAAGACCTGCAAACACAGCAAACACTGTAAATAAAATAACTTGCACTTTTGCATCAAAAAGCCTTCCTGTCAGGTGTTGTTCTGGAATTTTCTGAGTTTTGGTGAAAAACACTCCACAATAAAAGTCTCCACAGTGTGCATAATATCAAATTAATTATGATGTCATCTTGAAAACGGACACAAATGAGTCTCAACACGGTGTAACATATCAAAAATGAATCATGGATTTCTCTTTGAAAAAAGTTTAATATGTATGGTAAAGCTGTCCTTACAGTTGTCTGTTCGCACTTTGTAAAATACAGCTACTAAATACATAAGACTATAGTCTCACCTTCACATATATTTTTGCACCAATTCTGAAGAACATATTAGTTGGAAAAAGTGTCCACATGCTGTATAATATCAATAAACGTTTCTTTGAAAAAGATTTGAATATGCATATTAAACTGTCACCACCTACAGTTATTTCTGAAAATACAGCTTTATTTGGCTTCAAATCATGGAAGAATGTCATAGATCATTCTGCATAAGCATAATTCATCAGAATAGAGCATAAAAATTGCCAAAATACGTAAGACTATAGTCTTACCTTCACATGTATTTTTGGACCAATTTTTAATTGTCTTAATTTGTATGAAAAACATTTAAATCAAATTATATGTTTTTTAAAAAAAGATTTTAATATGTATAGTAAACTGACACTAATGATTATTAGTTCATATTTCTGAAAACAGCTTTATTTGGCTTCACATTTTGGGAAAAGTGTCATAAAACAGTCAGCATTAACATTATTAATCAAAATAGAACATAAAAATCTTGTATTTTTCTCATAATTTGCCAAAATATTTAAGGTTATAGTCTTACCTCCACATGTTTTTTGACAGTTTTTGAATGATTTATACTGATGAAAAACACAAATCAGTTGTAAAACGACTCTACGTCATGTAGAATATCAAATAAATCTTGAATTTCTCTTTGAAAAAAACTTCAATACATACAGTAAAATGGTTATCGGTTCATATTTCATAAAATACAACTTCAAACTCTGGGAAAATGTCATAGAGCTAAAGCCTTTTTAAATAGACCATAAAAACCGTCATGCATTTTTGCACAAAAATAGCCAAAATACATTAAACTCTAGCCATTGCTTTACGTGTATTTATGGATATATTGTTGATTTGTCCAGATTTTGAAGAAAAACACTTAAATCAGTTGGAAAAAATCTCCACATGATGTATAAAATCAACTATACTATGAATTCTTTTAGGAAACAAACTTTAATAGGTATAGAAACATCGTCACTACTTTTAGTTATTAGTTCATATTTCTGAAAACAGGTTTATTTGGCTTCAAATTATAAGAAAACCTCATGCAACAGTCAGCATAATCATTATTCATCAAAATACAACAGAAATCTTCATGCATTTTCACAAAATTTGCAGAGATATGTAAGACTATAGTTTTACTTTCTTGTGTATTTTTTGACAGCGTTTGAATGATTTCTATTGGGAAAAAAAAAAACATGTCAGCTGCAAAATGACTACATCATGTATAATATCAAGTAAATTAGTTTTTCTTTGTAAACAACTAATATGTACAGTACAACTTTTACCATTATTGGTTCATATTTCATAAAATACAACTTCAAATTATGGGAAAATGTCATAAAACAGTCAGTATAAGCATTATTCATCAAAATAGAGCAAAAAAATCACTGTGTATTTTTTCTCAAAAATTGCCAAAATACGTAAGACTATAGTCTTACCTTCACATGTATTTTTGGACCAATTTTGAATAATTTCTATTGTGATTAAAAACACTCATATTAGTTGGAAAAAGTGTCCACATGGTGTATAATATCAAATAGATTATGAATTTTGATTTGAGAAAGATTTTAATGTTTACAGTAAAACTGTCATTACTTATGGTTATCAGTTCATATTTCTGAAAATACAGCTTTATTGGGCTTCAAATCATAAAAAGTCTTAGAACAGTCAGCTGAAGCCTTTTTAATGAAATCATCACATTTATTGTCACATCACATTTACAATCACTTGCGAAGGTGAGTAAAAATCTTTTTTTCTTACACACATCAGATTCTAAATACACACAATGTACACATTAGTATATACCAGTATTGCACCATTCAAATGTACAGTTTTTGTACAATAATATGTTATGAAATAAAAGCTATGATATGTAAAGTTGTACACATTTACATATATGCATTTTGTGAGTCTGAGGTAGATAAATGACTACTGATATATATATTCCAGAAGATATGGATAGAAGATTTACAAGATGTCAGTCTATATGTGCAGGTATAGATTTGTACAGTAAGATCAGAGTGAGTCTGTTTGAGGTGTAGATGCAGTGTGGATTGTCCATGGAGATCATCATGATGATGACTCAGAAGTGTAGTAGCAGGCCCAAAGACTGATACACCAGCACTACTGACCGTTTAGCAGCCTGATGGCCCGGCGGAAGAACCGGCTAGCTCTGGACTTTATGCTTCTGTACCTCATCCTGCTTGGCAGCCGTGAGAACAGATAGTGGTTTGGGTGGGTGGAGTCCTTTAGAATCCTCTTGGTCTTACTCAGGCAGTGGGTATAAATCCAGGATGTTTGGGTGCTGGACCCCACCCTGGATCAGAATAGAGCATAGAGTCATTATGTATTTTTGCACCAAAACTGCCAAAATACGTAAGACTATAGTCTTAACTTCACGTGTATTTTTGGGTGAATTTTTAATTGTCTTAATTTGCATGAAAAACACAAATCAGTTGGAAAAAGTCTTTACATAGTTATAATATCAAATAAATCATATTTTTGTCTGAAAAAGACGTTTGGTAACTGTCACTACTTATGCTTATTGGTTCAAATTATGAAAATACAACTTTATTTGGCTTCAAATCATGACAAATACATGAGAAAACCGTCTGCTGAAGCCTTTTTAATCAGAACAGACCCTAAATTTTTTCAGAAATTGGCCAAAATATGTAAGGCTGTAGTTTTGCCTTCACATGTTTTTGAATGATTTCTATTGTGATAAAAAAAAACACAAATCATTTGCAAAATGACTCTACATCATGTAAAAGGCAAATAAATCAATCATTAATTCCTCTTCGAAAAACACTCTGTACTGTAAAATGGTCATTGTTTACCCTTATTGGTTCATATTTCATAAAATACAACTTTGTTACTTCAAATTATGGGAAAATGTTAGACATGTATTTTTGGACCAATTTTTAATTATTTTAATTGTAATAAACACTTAAATCAGTTGGGAAAAGTGTCCACTTGGTGTATAATATTTTTTGTTTGAAAAATAGTTTAATGTGTCATGGTAGAACTGTCACTACTAAAGGTTGTTGGTTCATATTTTTGAAAATAAAGCTACGTTTGGCCTCATATCATTGGAAACGGTACAGTACACTCTACTGAAGCCTTTTTAATCATAACAGACCATAAAAATCACTGATTTTTTCACAAAATTTGTGCAAATACGTAAGACTATAGTCTTACCTACATGTGTATTTTTGGACCATTTTTTATTTATTCTAATTGTGATGAAAAACACTTTAATCAGTTGCAAAATGACTCCACATAGTGTATGATATCAAACAAATCATGAAATCCTCTTTGAAAAAGACGAATATGTATGATCAAACTTCCAGTAGCTACTGTTATTGAGCTATGTTTTATAAGATACAATTTATTTTACTAAAATTATGGAAAAATGTCATACAACATAAGCATGAGCATTATTCAAAAACACAGCATAAAAATCACTTTGCATTTTTGGACAAAATTTTCCAAAATACATAAGACTACAGTCTTGTATGAAAATTAAAGAGCAGTTGCGGTATGACTCCACATAGTGTACAGTATCAAATAAATCATAAATCAAAATATTTAAACCAGTCAAAACAAATGACCCTACATGATGTATTTTATGGAATGTATCACAAATTCTTCTTGGAAATTAGGGTTTTAGGATATATTTAATTTTTGGAAATTCTTCTTGGAAACTACATTGTAGTGCTGCACTTAAACCCACATTACCTAAAGTTACAAACTCCGCAGACTTTGCAGCTTTTTTTCCTTAAAATCTTGGAAAAAAATATCACAAGATAGTCTGCTTAAGTGTTTTGCTTCAAAATCTTTAAAAATCATCTTGCAATTTTCTGTTAAGAGAAAAAAAAATTAAACTTGCTTAACTCCGGCCTCCCCTTGGCCTTGTTTATGTGTGTCTGAGTTCATATGGAGCCTCTTCTATGGGCCACAGCTGCACATGGCTGGAAATGCGGCTGTGTGATGTCATCTTTAATGGACGGCCTTGTCCACTGGGATATGGGAGATTGGAAGAGGGCAGTAATGTGATCTTCCTCATAGATCATACTGCCACTTGCTCTGTGCACACCTGCCTGTTAAACGAGTTGAATGTTTCTATTCTCTTAGTCTGCAATTCAAATTCTTCAGTTCTTCCTAGCAATCAGTGCAAAATTGACTTTTTACTGGCTGTTTACTGCCTTCAGCAATGAAAAGATACACAAAAATCAGAACACACCCCCTACACCCCCTCACCCAGAGTCAAAGAAATCTCCATCAGGGATGTAAGGTGAGACAGAGAGGCAGATGGAGGGGTGACAGGGTCAAGGTGTGCGTATGTGTGTATGCCTATGTGTGGGTGGGTGCGTACATGTGTGTTTGTGTTTGCATGCTGCGCATGTTTTTCACTTTCTTAGGACATCAACCTTTTTATCAATGACCTATTTTTTCTGATGTTGCTCTGACATCTTGAAATATTTAGAGCAGACCTGAGCCTTTATCTAAACTGAGGTGCAAGATCAAAGCTGAGCCGGTAACAGCTAGAGCCTATTTATAGTGGAAATAACTGAGAGATGCTTCTTTTCCACACGATAGCACACTTTTACACTGAGTTACAACTGTGTATAACCACAACACAATGCAGCAAAGTGCTCAACTGAGGTTAATACTAAGTTTTGTATTGCCTAGTACAGTATTAGTTCACACTATACTTACTGTTCTTCTATAGCTTCTGATCTCAGAGGGCATCTCTAAAAGGATTTACAAGAAATATAGAGCCCACTGAATGGCTGCATGTTGTATTTGAACTCAGTGTTGATGAATGTGGTGTGAAGAGTCAAGGACACTATCAGGACTGAAGGCCTCCTCTCTTTCACTGGCTCTAATCCAGTTAGACTGATAGCCTCAGAGCAGGCAGGGAGAATAAAATGAAAGAATAAGATGCACTGCTGGTGTTTTAATTATTAACATCTACAAAGAGCTGAGGGTGTGGGTTAAAGCTGCGCTGTCAAACACAAGATCAGCTGCCTTTACTTCTCCTCTCACTTTCTTTTTTACTCATCACTCTGCCCTTCCCTTTACTCAGGGTCCAGCTACAAAATGCTGACATGCTGTTTTCACTCTGATCACTTCCTGCCTTCTTGCTTCAAAATAGATTGCACAAAATTTCACACTCTTAGCAAAAAATTTTCTATATAATACCACAAAAAAGGTTCTACAGGTTTTAACACTAGTTGAACCCGTTTTGGTGCTATATAGAGAACCACAGAAGAACCATATACAACAGGCTTTCCATTATAGAGAAGAATCATTTAAACATGCAAAAAACTATTTATTTATAGAACTTTTTTCTTCATGTGATTAAAGTCAACATGAATAAGAAATCATAACGCAGTTTCCTTCTGTACCATGAAATACTCCTGAGTGGAACACAGTATCAGGGAGGGTCCCTGAGCCAGTTGAGCATTTCTTCTTGATGATAGGTGAGGGTGGTGGGAGGGGGAGGTGAAACATGGTACTATTGCTTAATATTTTGTTCCGTCTGATGGAAAAACAAGAATTTTGTATTGATGTATGATGAATTGTGCTGAATATGGACAGGGACAAGGTCAAATTTTGATTGCAGGTTGACTTTAAATATTGTGGGTGCAGCTTTTCTGAAGAAAACGTCAATTTTGGGCATTGATAAAAGCTTGTAGTTCCCTTCAACAGAAATGCACACACCATGACCTGCAGCATCTCTGGGGTGTCAGCATTATAACAGCAATAATACAGCCCCCAAAATTCAACATTTTGTGAGTGTGGTTTTTGTAACCAAATCCCATTTTTGTGGCTTTTCTTAGTGATCCTATTATGCCAAAGCTTCCAAAGCTGTTTTATATAGACCTAAGCTGTTAAGAAGAGGGATTTGTTTGGCTTGCATATGACACAGGCAGTCTTCACCTGCAATATCACAGAGTTAGCTTGTTTGAAGTGCAGTGGCTTCATGGCCTTATTACAGCTCACAGGAAACCTCACCTGCCTAAATAAAGTCAACGCCTAAACTTTGCAGCATTCGTAGAGATGGGTGATACCAAACCCAAGTAGGCTGTAGAGTATGAATGCATGATAGTTTACCCAGAGATCAAGATGGTTATCTGCAGCCTATATAGCCTATATGTATAATAAATTAATCATAATTTGCCTACACTGTCAGAAATGAAGGTTCTGTGCAGGTCCATTTTTTGTTCATCAAGTTACAAACAATGTGAATGTGCCCTCAAAGGTACAACAGTGGTTTTAAAGCCCAATCGTGCACCTTAAATATGTTTTTCTCAGTGGAAAATGCACACATTTTTGTACCTTTTTCATAACCTAATGTTGTAAAACAGAACAATGAAATAAAAAGCCTGGAGACGAGACGGGGTGTGTGGAGTCAGTACAACTTAGAAAATATAACTTTAATGGTTTATGGTACAATTATGTTCTCTGACTAAAGGTACTGAGATGTACCCTTGAGAGTACCACCCCAGTGACGAGAGGAGTACTGCCCCAGTGACAGTTTCATACCTTTGTTTTGAGAGTGTAGTCATTCTAATATCAGTTCATTTGGGTTGAGATAGATTAATAATAATAATATTATAACTTTGATTTTTATCTTAGTCTACTGAGCTAATTATACAATTTAATGGACTGTACAAACAAATAGTTGCTAAAACACTTTTATTCAGTAGATAAAACCACTACGCTACTTTCTTTTTACTTATTACTCCATTTTCTGGCACTTTGTATCTCATCAAGCAAAAAGCTGCATGTGATGATCTCCACTACAGATAATCGACCATGCAGATGAAAGACTGTGTGCATGATGTGTCTCAGTGTATCACAAGACTCCTGGAAGGGTGTTTGCCTCATTTAATTTCCTTGGTGTGCAGATCTTTAGATGCATTTTGAAGATAATGCAACTACAGTGTTTATAGTGCTGTAATGTAAAGGTACGCCGATTCCTGTTGTAAGCCTTACTTTATTAAAACACTGCACACCCTACAGGACATTGCTTTATAAATAAATGCACATTTCTACTGTAAGGTTTTTTGTTTTCTGCATTATTCATCTCTATTCGGCACGTTATATGACAGTGTTCATCTCCCATTCATATTTACTGAATAAACAAATGGAGTTAGTACTGATGCACTATTGATGATACAATAAATGAAAATCTCTCAGCTTGTAGCTGTGGTAATCATCAACATATGAGTAGATCATGTGACTGGGTCTTAACACTAACCATAGTAAGGTCATAAACATTGATGTTTGCTAAAATGCTCAAATATT